TTGTCCCATTCAACTGCACATCCCTTTCTAGTTTATGTTTTAATGATCTCTTAATTTTGGTTTGGGTTGATACACTAGATGAATTCTATGTCATACATGTGGTTAAATCTGTCACGAACTGCTCAAAATACTCATTGTAGGATCTAGTATCTTCATCTACTCTTGCAAAAGATGAACCACTCTTGTGGTTGCAGGGATACTTTTCCATGTTTGCTGTTGTTGGGTATACGATACTGCACCCTACAGGGGTGTGACCTCCCCTAATACTTTTATTACAAAATGGATCTGCTGCAGTGGCTATATTTTGGAGTGCTTTGTGTCTGCACTGCAGACTCTCTCTCCAAATGTAAACAATTTTGGGGTAAGCATTACCCTAAAAAAATACCCTGCTTAATGAGAAGCCGACTCCTTTTTAACCTCCTCTCTTGCCCTGGTAGATGGATATGTTTTTACTTTACCCTATGTAATTTAATTTTCACATCCCTCTCTGAAGATGATGCTGACACTCCTGTTTTGTACATACATAGGACTACAAAACCCTTCTACATGGGTACTACCGCTAGAGGTGATCCTCTGAACAATGTATGACCCAGCTGTGCAGAGGTTTGGCCAATTAGGCTTCACTTGTATCCAGGAGAGATCTCTGCTGCTGTTCTGCTCTGGCCTTGCCTTGCCTCATTGCCATGCTGGGTTTGAACTCAAGACTCTTGGTTTCCATTCCCTCGTCCCTCCACTGTAGTTCCTTAAAGTATCAGCTCCATTCTGGGCTTCTGGGGATTCTTCAATGAATAAAACAGATTTATGCTCTTACGATGTTTACATTCTAGTGAGGGGAGACAGAGACAGGCCATTAATCCTAAACATTATAGATTACTAAATGATGTTCGATGTGAGAGGTGAATACAGTGGAACAAATAAGAGTAGAGGAGCAGAGGGAGTCCTTAACAGTGTTGGGCTCTGCAATTTTAAAAGGGTTGGTCATGATAAACTTCGGTGAGCAAGGGACAGTCTTGATGTCTGTGTGAACAGCATTGTAGGCACACGACACAGCTGGTGCAGGGGACCTAAGGTGAGATGCAACCTGTTTGTGGCTGAGTGATGAGGAACAGAGTGGGAAGAGCTGCAAAGGGGTGGCAGGGAGGCCAAATGTGGATGGGCTCCATAGGCTACCATAGGATGTAAATGCAGTGCCATTCCTCTCAGCTACAGCCAAGTCGATTTTTATGAGCAGCTTTATTCAATATTCTTTACAAGAAAATCATCCCTTAACCAGTCAGTATGGCTTCTGCTGGCCAAATCCTGCTGCACAAATATGCTAGAGACATTCAATCTCGTTTCTAGCAAGACTTGGCATAATTTTGAAACTGTTCAATCAACCCAGTAAATATGAATTAAACATTTATGGTTGTATTAAATATTCGAAAGATAGGAACCAAAACAGTCTATCAAGTAATTGTACATATTTGTGCATTTACAAAATGCATATTCATGAGAGCTATGTAAATATATATTTAGTCATTTCCTCTTCCATGTGAAGAGCCACGGCTGAGCTACAGATGGTAACTTTCTTGCATATAATTATGATAAACCATTTTGGAGTTGTTCTTAGAAAAAGATCATTGTCTATTTGGCCATTCCATGAGTTTAGTGCTTTTAGAATTGGGGAGAGGAAAGTTCTAGAACATGCCTGTCCTTGTGGCAGTCATTTGAGAAAGAAATGGCAGTTGTCCAGCAGATAAGTACCCTTCTGTACCAATCTTGTTCCCCACAGAAGTGGCTCTCATACTTTTTTCCATCAAGAGTCACAAAAGGGAAGATGTTTTTGTATAGGGCACACCTAGGGTTACGTGCAGCTCTGGATAGTCCAGTGGCAGCTCCACCCTTTCTCTCCCACTCAGAAGGCATATTGGATGCTAGCAGTGAGAATGATGATATTTTAGGGTCAATATTTAATTCATTCTAATTTATTCAAAAACATGTCCAACGTTAGTATGGTATCTATTAATAGTAACATGACTGGCACCCTCTCACAAAATGCTCATGACAACTCTTCTGGATCCTTCTGTCACATCTAAAGACTCTTTGGATAAGAAGATTGCTGAGAGTGTACGTATTCTAATTTTGTCTTTGTTTAAGGTCTGATGTGAAAATCTTTCAGGGAATTGAAATTTTCTAAAAGGATCTCTATTTCCTAAAGTCCTGATAATCTTATCAGCACTTGCCAACTCATTCACTCAGCCAAGATTCTGTGAGGCCCTCCACTGTTCCTCATGTATTTTGAGGAGACGGAAAAGTGGGAGAGGAGAGAGAGAGAAGCTGAGTAGGAGATACAGATGAGTCTCCATGTCCCTGAAGCTTGATTAGCTGGCTCCACCATTCTGTGTTCTTTTTTTTAAATAATAAATTTATTTTTTCTTGGTGTTCAATTTGCCAACATACAGAATAACACCCAGTGCTCATCCCATCAAGTGCCCACCTCAGTGCCCGCCACCCAGTCACCCCCACCCCCTGCCCTCCTCCCCTTCTACCACTCCTAGTTCACTTCCCAGAGTTAGGAGTCTTCCCTGTTCTGTCTCCCTTTCTGATATTTCCCACTTATTTTTTCTCCTTTCCCCTTTATTCCCTTTCACTATTATTTATATTCCCCAAATGAATGAGACCATATAATGTTTGTCCTTCTCCGATTGACTTATTTCACTCAGCATAATACCCTCCAGTTCCATCCACGTCGAAGCAAATGGTGGGTAAGATGTGGTTTATGTATACAATGGAATATTAGCCATTCTGTGTTCTTGAGAAAACTAGGGAGGAAAAGAAATGGCGCTAGCATGTACAGACACTGGCTGTCACTGGTTATCGCTAGGTGGGGCTTTAGCCTAGTTAGCTGGACTGATACTTGGGTAAACCTTGAGAACTCAGGATGAGTGCAGAAGTAGACAGGGCAGGGTTAATGTCTCTTGGATTCTCTCTTTTAGAGACAAAAATTTTGATTTAGTAATAAGTTAGCAGTAAGAAACAACCACTGGATTGGGTAGGCTATGTGGTTACTCAGCTTGAGGCAGACTTTCTGGATCTTCCCATCTCAGAGCAAAAGCCAAAGACACCCTCTGTGATTTGTGTCTCTGAAATGTAGACTTCATCTCTCACTAGTCCTCTACTTATTTGTTCCCCACCCCACCAACCTCCTGTCACTCCTTAAAGCACCACGGGTCCTTTGTACCTGCTGTATCCTCTGCCCAGTGTGCTCTGCCTCTCATTGTGGGGGCTGCTTCTCTTACTTCCTTAAGGTCCTTATTTAAAAATGACCTTCCCAGTGGGATCTTCCATGACCATCCTATGCAAGATTTTAACTGCTGTCTCAACATTTCATTTCTTGTTCTGATTATTTCTTCTAAGCACTTACTACTATCTAACACACTGTACTTATTTATACCACTTAGCACCTGGCTCCCTACTGCAGTGCATATTCCACAACGGCATGGGTTTTTGCCTATTTTGTTCATTGCTGTATTCCCAGCATCCTGAACAGTGCTGGCCACATGGCAGGATTCAGTATTTACTGAATTAATCAATGACTGTATGCTTAAAAGCAAGGAGACTTCATAGAGAAGCAGGAGGAAGAAGTATTGCACAGACAAGGGACCAGGTATTGAGGGGAGGGGGGAGAGAGAGAGAGAGAGAGAGAGAGAGAGAGAGAGAGAGAGAGATATGAAATGCTGATGGGTTTTCTGAAAACTTTCCAGTTCCTACATTCAATTTCTAGTAAACCTGGGTTTTATTTTTTTTCCGTGGTCTATTCTCATAAAATTATCCTTTTCTTAAGCTACCTTAAGTGGATTGGTCTTTACTGCAACTGAAAAAAACTCTAAGCAAAAGGAATAGAATCAAAGTAGGAAGCTTTAATTGTTTTCTGAGCACACAGGATGCACTGGTGGATGGGGTTCCCACGCAGTGAACAGTTTTGTGGGTATCTCTCCCAGATAACTAGGTCACAGACAACTGGTGTTTCCCCATGTGGCAAAGTGGAGCATGCACAGAAATCCCTGCCTCCTCTCTCTTTGCTTTTCAAGCATTACTGAATGCCTCCTAATGATTTCATCTGCTTGGAGGTCTGCTGGGTTTTCCACTTTCATAGAAGGTGGTGGTGCCAGGGGCTGATGCATGCTCTGACTACTGACTTGAAACATGCTTTGATGAATTAGTGCAACCCGGCCAGCCATTTACTTTAAATTTTACCCTTGATTCTTCCTCTAGCAAACAATTAAGGAGCAGCAGTGGCTTCCTGCAGGGGAGACCAATGCCTTCTGTCCTCTGCGGAAACAGCTTTGGCGTTCTTCCAAAGAATGAATGGCATGGACCAGGAGTTCCAGTTTCCCTCCGCTTTCACGCATCCAAATAAATAAACAGTTACATGCATACAATAAAATAAAATAAATTCAAATCATAAACAAGGAAACCAGGCTAGGTTACTAGCAAGTCCTATGACTTGACTTGGGGGCTGGGAAATGCAGGAGGCCAAAGACCACCAAGAGGTCACATGAACTACTGGGCCCAGTGGCAAGGCACCATGTCTTCCACCTCGCTGGGTGAGTAGCACAGACCAATCTCAAAAGCTCCTGAGTAAGAGGAAAATGTCTCTTTAACAGTATTAAGGGACAATTTATTATGTGTATCCTTCCAGGGAAGCACAATGTCAGTGCAGGCCTATTGCATTTGCATTATTTCCAGACAACAGCAGCAGCAGCAGAAAAGGACACTGATTTATTTCAGAGCAAGCACAGGTGAATTTAATGTCTGTTGGGACTGAGCCAGGGAAGACTTGACCCGCTCTAGGCTCTTAAGTGCTTGAGGGGGGACAGCAGGTTTTTGGAAGGGTCCCATTGGCCTCTGACTAAATTCAGCTTCCCTGAGCCTATGTTCCTAAATCACCTGGTCAGAAAAGCCTTGCAGAGAAAAGGGGATGGAAAAAATTCTGTTTGGGAATAGAAAACCTGGTGCTGGCTTCTTTGGCAGCACATATACTAAAAATTGGAATGATACAGAGTAGATCAGCATGGTCTATGCCCAAGGATGACTTGACATTTGTGAAATGTTCCATATTTTTAAGATGGAATTCAAATAAAAACAATAGATAAATAAATGAGTAAATAAATAGATGAATGAATAAATAGAAAATCTGGTTTCATGTCCTGACCTAGCTAATTTCTTTCTCAGTGGCTTGGCCAAATAATTTAGTCATTTAATTTTAATGTTAATTCTTTAATTTTTTTTATAATTTAGTCCTTTTAAGGCTCAACTATTTCTTTATAAAAAAGTCTAAGAACACTACGAGGATCCAGTAAGCAAATGTATTAGAGAGTGCTTTGTGAATTGCATACATGCCATTGTCTAGAGCTGACATCAGTTTGGGATTTCTAGCAAATAGCTTTATCCCAGAAAAACCAAGGAGAGGATAATCACAATTACTCTTTAAACCTTGGCATTCAAGCATTGTAGAATCGCAAAAGGTCATGGTGGAAAGTTGGAAAGTCTGAGATAGCTTTTCCCAACCTCTTGTTCAGCACATGGAGAAACCAGTTGTTGGGAAGAAAGAGGACTGAACATCAGAGGGGATGAGGTGAATCTTAATGATCTCTGCTCTCTGTTCCTTATCAGTATGCTTCAGAATGCCATGGACACAGTAAGAGCTCAGTAAATGCTGATAGAAATGATAGAATTCACTCACTGTCAAACACAACCGGTGTTGACAATGGCAGGTTGGAGTTTTTCTCTTTAATCCATGTTCCGGGTATCTCTTCTTTCAATGTCGAACCTGGCAGAGAATGCGTTTGCTGGTCACCTGAGTCATCCTGAGAAGGAACACGGCCCATATAAGCCAGCAACATCCTGGTGAAAGCCACTAGCTTCAACTTCTGATGGCAATTCCTTGAAGCCATAAAGAGCACATCATTCTCGTTAAGCCATCTTTCAATAACCATTTTAACACACATAGCTGGACAAATTTACAAAATGCTGCTCAGTGCATTACCTTATTTAATTTCCTGAGCAATCTGATGAAGTAGGTACCATTATTTCCATTTCCCAGAGTAAGAAATTGAGGCTCTGAGAGTCTATATGACCCGTTATTGATGTACAGACATTGCCAGGACTGGAGTTTGATCCCAAAACTCTGTTACAAGTGCATTCCATCAATACTACCTTATAAAATATCAAATAGGCATTCTTTCCTTCTCTTTCTCCTTCCTTCCTTTTCCTCTCTCCCTCTGTCTCTCTCTCTTATTTCCCATGAATTCTTATTAACATGGTGCTAGGTACCGTGAGGGACACAGAAGCAGAACAACAGGACTAGAATAGCCCCTGTCTTTGAATAGTTGACAATCTACAGAAGAAGAGGACCTACAGGTAAAAACAGTAGTTCCAAATACAGGTGATCTTTGCTAAGTACTAACCCTGATTGAGTAGAGCCTGAAAGGTGAACTGACAAGCACCTCACTGCCTGGAAGATGAAGAAGAGAGATAATAAACACATGTCCAGGGCACCACTGTTGCCCTCCTTTATTTTATTTTATTTTATTTTATTTTATTTTATTTTATTTTATTTTATTTTATTTTATTTTATATTTTATTATTTTATTTTATTTTATATTTTATTTTATTTTATTTATTTTATATTTTATTTTATTTTATTTTATTTTTTATTGGAGTTCAATTTGCCAACATATAGCATAACACCCAGTGCTCATTCCATCAAGTGCCCCCCTCAGTGCCCATCACCCAGTCACCTCCACCCCCCGCCCATGTTGTTGCCCTTCTTCTGGAAAAATCATTCACTGCCCCATTCACGATATGTAGTCTTTCAAAGTCCATGCTTTCACCTTCCCCACTCTCTTTGGTGTGATGAATGAAAGGTTGGTGTGACGCATCCAAGTGGAATCTGCAAATCGCTGATCCTTAAAACCTACTTTTGTAAATACCAATAAAACATGTCTCAACACTTTTTCCTCATTCAGGGAGTTCATTCAACCAGGAGCCCTGGAGGAGGGAAGTTACTCCCTATGAACTGTTCTCCTTTCAGGGCTCTCATCTAAAACTGAAACTCATTTCTGTGCTCTTCCCCTTTGCCTGCCTTGCTTTGATTTTGAGTCAATTAGTCTATAATCCCTTCTGGTTTCCCCTCTTTGTCTGCCTTCATTTTGTCTAAACAGCAGAATTGGTTATGTTTGCCAAATGAATTATTTCACTCCAAAGTGTGTCCAAGACTGGAAATAATACCCCATAGGCACTAGGTAACTATTTGTTCAGTGAAGAAATGAATGGCTGAATGAAGGAATGAGCAATGGTCAGGTTTAAATACTCCTATTTACCAGTTGCCTGACTTTAAGGAAAATATTTACCTTGTTTGTGCCTTAGTTTTCTTTCTTTGCAAACGGTGTGCCGAAGATTACAGAAAAATCTATATTTATGTGCTATACAAAGTGCCTGTGATTCATTATAGTATTCAAAAACTTGTAGCCACGATGATTATCATTATCACTATTAAAGAGACCAGAATGTGACCTGATTGCTACAAGAGGAATGTTCCTGTAGGGTGAGGAGGGTAAGGGGGATAGTTTTTGTGAGGAGTAGAGGATTTAAACAAGCAGAACAAAGGGTGCAGGGGAAAGCATCTCAGCCAGTAATACTGGGGTAAGGGAGGAGGTCTGACATCTTCTGAAGACAAGAAAGATAAGGTGAAAGGTGGGGAGCTAGGCAAGGCTGTAGAAAGAGGTGAGGGGTTGAGGAACAGTATATGATCAAATGGGTCCCTAAAATTAAGTTGTTAGTGATTATGTATTATGTGGTTATGTGCCACCTAAATATGGCAAAAACTGTGTCCAAGAAGGGATGCTGGTGCCCAGTGACATATGAGTGGTAAGGGTCAGAGCACTGGAATATCTGACATGCTGTAGGGGCACAGAGGGAAAAGGATGGCACCACCTTTGGCCATCTCGGAGAGGCCTCATCATGAGCACTAGCTCATCAAGGATTCCTTCCTCCTCTCTTGCTCTCTCACTTGCTCATTCACTTATTTCATATATATTCTTGAGCACCTGCTTATTTGCTAGATGTAGAGTTAGATGCTAGGGACATAGCTAGAGCATGACAGACTCAGTCATAGAACTTTGAGTTCAGTAGGTGATCTGATGTTGATGGGGGCAGATGCCACTCTAGGCAGAGACAGTGGCATGACAAACAGCATGGAGAACTTTCAAACAAGCATGGGCTTTCACAAGCAGCCCAGTGGGAATGGCGGGGATGTGCACAGTCCAAATGTCCTCTGGGGTTGAGACTGACACAATATGTTAAGCAAAGGAGCAGATGCAAGATGGTAAACAGGGAGATTCATGTTTCAGAAGGAAGCCTCTGCTGGCAGGTGGGATGGAGGGGAATGAGATAGCCCTCTTAGAGAAATAGTGATGGAGATTGTGGAGGGCTTCTAGCTCTGAACTACAGAGTCAGATGGTGAAGTGAAAGGATGTTGCTGGATGCAGAGATCTTCCCATAGTCAGGAGTGAAGGAGAAAGCACCAGGCACTTAGTTGGAGGCTGGGGAGGGCCAATGAGTCCCTGAATGGGGCAGAAAGGAGCCTAGGGGTGGGGAGGAGACAAACTTCAATGTGACAGTGGTTGGGGACCTTACTGTGACCAGCAGGACTGATGGTCTAATTCTGCAAGGTGCCAACCCTAACATTTCCCCCCTGCAGGGATTCACCCTGGACCTCTGAGAATAAGGGGTGGGTTTATTGATGTCAGTTCCATTCTTTGTAGTAGAATAACTTTATGACATCTAAAAAAGAGTAAAACAGTCCACCTAGGGCTGAATTTGAGATTCAAATGACACTGGATGTTATATTATATGTTGGGAAATCAAACTCCAATAAAAAATATACATAAAAAAACCAAAAAGCAAAATGACTTTGGATGGAAAAGGGTGGAGATGAACAGCAAGTCACTCAAAATTCCACGTGTAAAAATAAAACAAACACGTGTTGGGGCACCTAGGTGGCTCAGTCAGGTAAGCATCTTCCTTTGGCTCAGGTTATGATGCCAGGGTCCTGGGATCGAGCCCCGCATCAGGCTCCCTGCTCAGCAGGGAGTCTGCTTCTCCCTCTCCTTCTGCCCCTCCCCCTGCTTGTGCTCTCTCTCTGTCTTTCTCAAATAAATAAATAAAATATTTTAAAAAAGAAAATAAAACAAACATGTCTTGATTTATTACCACTTTTGTGAAATCTCTTCCACCCAGTTAAGGTCTTCTTGTGCTAGAGGAAGTGGAGTGCAGAAAAGTCAATGCAAAGAATTTTGTAAAACCTCTGTCCTTTGCTTGAATTTCTTTCCCACTCAGATTCTCTTTTTGTGTTGCATGCCATGTTCTAAAGAACACAGACAGAAATTCCTCAAAGATTTCTTTCTGCCAAGTCCCTCTTTACTCCCACAGCGCATTTTACATCTCCCCAGTGACAGTTCCTTAACTACAGACCATCATCATTATTTTTCTTACGTAGAGGCAGCCCTGAACTCTTTTCTCTAGTGGCCCCATCATCTAAAGCAGGGTCCTGCATGCCCCCGAATAAATGAACATTTGCTGAATAAATGGAATGATTAGTGGTGGCTAACATGTGTTCTGATATTCTCTAGTTCCTGCCTTTTCAAGGGATACTCATGAAGATGTGGAAAAGAGAAAATGTGAGGCAAGGACACTCTTTCCTATGCACTCTTCATGTCACTGCCCATTCTGTGTGCTTAAAAGGAAGAATTTGCTTCAGACGAAACTGCATGTGGTGTCCTGCAGTGGCTCATAAATTCTAGTTGGCAGAAACAGCTGGGCTAGTTGCCTAAGAATCTCTAGAGATTCTGATTCAGTAGTTTCGGGGTGGACCCTGGAATGAAAAAAAATCTGTACCTCTATATTTATCTCTGTATTTATCTATCTATCATCTATCATCTCTGTTTATCTCTGTATCTATGTATCATCTATCTCTGTATCTCCGTATCTATTATCTATCTATCTATCTATCTATCTATCTATCTATCTATCTATCATCTATTTATCTATCTATCCATCCAC